GAGAGGCCTATCTTTTACCTAAAATAAAAGCTTTGAAATGTGATATAATGTGCGATAAAAAAAATAAAAAGCATTGTTTTTTAGTTTTAATTGAATTCACAGACAAATTTTGCCAATTATTTATCATATAATTAAATATAATTTTATAAAACATCAATATTTTCAAATTAAATTGATAATTTTGAATTAACTTATTTACTTGTTTATCAAAAACGTTTTCATAGTTATTATAATATTTCATATTAAATATTCAACAAATAAATTTTATTACATTTTCTTACATTTGATAAGTTTGTTTACCAATAGTTTTTACATATAAATATGATATCAATAAAAATACTGAATTTATATAAAAACAAAGTAATTAAAATATTGGCTAATTTTGATGAAACAATATTCATATATTAATATATCAATGACTTTTTAGATAAGATACCTTAGGTCTCACTATTCAAAAAAAAAAAAAACATAATTATTATACTCATGTCTTATCTTAAATGTCACAAATTAAGTAAATAACAAATTTAAATACATTAGAAAAATCGTTTATTTTTTTATTTTATTAGTAAATTGAAATGATAATTAATTTAATATAATTATTAATCTATAAGAGTGGAAAATATATTTAAAACAATAAAAATAAAAATTAATATTTCGTGCAAACTATCGCAACCACATAAATGTGATATCAATACTCAGGTCCTGTTGATGATAGTAATCATAAATTATGATTTAATTTCTAAAAATTATTATTATTATTATTTAAGAGGCAGTAATTTCTTTAAATAATTTGATGAAACGCTATATCAGTGCCCAATAATCGAAAGTGAATATCATTTTCTCAAAAAAAATAAAACGATTTCAACAAATGATAATTATATAAGAAATTAAATATTGTCTCTCATTATTTAAAAAACATAATTTCATTTTAAAAAATTAATTGAAACTTAAAACTTCTCATTAGTTGTTAATTAAATTTCAAGTTAAACGACTTATTCACAAAAAAAATTAAGTATATATTTATACAGTATATAAATTAATGTATATTCAATTATCTTGTTGTGAATTTCATATCAAGAAACTCATCCGAAATAAACAGAAACGTCTTTTTTATTATTATTATTATTTGAATCTGATTTTAATTAAATATTAAAACCACTAAAACACTAATATTTATTAAAGTACTGTATATTGTTATTATAAAATATAAATATACAGTATATATATATATATACAAATATAATGAGAATTTATTTACGCTTTGATAGGTCTATGGAAAACTAATTTTATTTTGAAGATTATTTTCTCATAAAATTTTTTTTAAAGTAAAGAATTTTAAATTATTATATTATTATTTTTTGAAATAAAAATATTAATTTTCAATAAACTTATTATTGGTTATATTTTTTTTAATGTATATTTCTTTATTAATTAATTAATTATATGTGTTTTTAAAAAAGGATATGACTCAATTCAAAATATTATTAATAAACATTGACTAAATAATTATTATAAATAAAGCTGTTTTAAACAAATTATTGTTTTATAATAAAATAATATTTGTAATAATAATAATAATATCAAAAAAAACAAAATTATATAATCTAAGAAAATGTACAGTTTATACATATCTTAATAATACTCTTTAATATATAATTTGAAAACTTTTTTTAAGGAAATATTTTTTAGTCAATAGCTTATAAAATGAGATTTCTAAGTCTCAATATATATATAATTGTTATAATTAATACTTTTAAAATATTAGTATAGTTTGTATTTTCAAAATATAGTTTAGTAATAAAAAGAGAGGGAGAGAATTAAAACATTTAAATAAAATTAATTAGATTTTTGTTAAAATAATAAATTCACTTTTCAAAAGCATAAATTAATATATTAAAATTGTTAATTTAAAAATAAAAGTAATATTTTCACTACATTTATAATCCAAACTTAAGGCAATTTTTTTCAACATCTACTTTCATTCTATAGTTAAACATAATTTCAATATTAAATTATAAATCTTTTGCATAAAATAAACATATATTTTTTAATTTTTAATTTCAATGTAATATCATTAATTTCTTTTTTTTAAATCTCTATATCTATATTGATTTTTATACATTTATTATTTTTTATTTAATAGTAGTTTTTTGTAAGGAAAAAACATAGCATATAATAAATTTATTTTAATTGTGTTATTTTATTATCAAAAAAGCATATATACATAAAAAACAAGTGATAAAATTTATTCATTCCTTAAGATATGATTGAAGGCTAAACTCAATTTATTTATATAGTGATTGAATATAATATATTCATATACATAATATCTATATACTATGTATTTGTATATTATTTTACTTTATATTGCAAAGTTAAATGTATAAAATATGTAATAACTTAATATAATATATATATATTTAACTCCCATATCACATGTATTAACAAATTGTAAAGTACAAATACACTGTTATACATTGTATATATTGATATATACTATACTAGTATTAACTTTAATAAATATTTGTATCTCTATCTTTCACTTTACCCTCCCTTTCCCTCTGTCACTGGTATGACTGTAATTAATATTATACAAAAAAAGTTATTATAAATACTGTTATAATAGTAGGAAAACACGGGAATAATCATTGAATTATATAAATGTTTGTTTGCCTCGACTTAAAAGGCAAACGAGTGCTTATAATAATAATAAAATATAAAAAATTATTGAATGCATAATCACTATCGCACTGTTAGCTAATATACGGGTCTTTAAATCTATTAAAAATATGCTGTGTTGGAACTTATATAGCATAATATCAATATAAGCTACCAGTGCTAACACACTCACTCACATGTACTGGCCTTGTGATTTAAAAGGCAAAACATATATACAATTATTATTATTATTATATACTATTTATCATTTCATTTAAATGATAATTAATATTCAAAAAACACTCAAAAAAAGTTTGTAACAAAACGACAACAGACTTGTTGTTTGTCAGCGAAAGTAAACTATAAGTTTGTTATCAACAAAAAAAAAGATGATTGCCTCAGAAGGTTAGGCCTCCCTATGACTAACTAATATATAAGCAAACAAAATGTTTTTTTAATAATAAAATAATAACTTTATCTCTAAATTAATGAAAACTATTTCATAATTTACATATTAGCTCGTATACCATAATTTAAATCATTAAAACCAAATGTTGATAAAATAATAATATTATAATAATAATGATATTTTATTTTATCAGCAATTTTTTGATTTTGAAATCTGCTTAATATTTGATGCAATAATTACTACTTATCAATCAATAAAATAGGTGTTTTCATTAATATGTATGCATTAGTAATATTATTATAATATTATTATTTATTCAAATGTATGAATTAACACAATTTTGTTTATATTATAAATTATTTCACTACTTCTTTGGCCTTTCTCTTAGTTTAAAAAACGAGTTTTTTTCTTAAATATTTCAATTGAACAAAATTAGTCCTTATATTTAAATGAAATAAATAATATTTGTGTTATTTTGACATTTTGGGCGTACAATTGTGACACAAACATACAAACGAGAGAAAGAGAGAAAGAAAGAAAGAAAGAGAGAGAGAGAGAGAGAGAGAGAGAGAGAGATTAAATGTTTGTTAAATAATACTTTTAAGCAAAAAATATTTACCATAAATTTTATTATCAAATATATGGAAAAATACGATATAAAACACGTGATAATCAGCTAAAGGATGTCGCAAATAACATAACAATTAATTTTCATTAAAAACATTTGTCTAATTCATATCCTATGTTAATAATATTTATTATTATTATTAATAACTTTAATCATCGTTGAATATATTTATTATAATCTAAATGAATATGTACTGTAAAAACAATATATAGACGTCATTTGCATTATGAAAGTGTGATTTATCGTTAAAATAGTGAATACTTTGTATTTTTTATGAAATATTACAGATGTAATATATGTTTATAAATATATATTTAATACATATATTGAATGTTTTTACAATTAAAAGGTTTAGTACAAAAAAATCATTTATTATCTCTCTCTCTCTTTCTTTCTTTCTCTCTCTCTCTTTCTTTCTCTCTCTCTCTCTCTCTCTCTCTCTCTCTCTCTCTCTCTCTCTCTCTCTCTCTCTCTCTCTCTCTCTCTATTAAACAATATATTAGACAAATTTTATGCAAAGCTTTTGAAGGAAAAACATGTGATACCATATAATATAATCGCATTGAAAAATATATATAATCAATGTGAATATTTAATAACTTAATAAAATATTAGATATTTTGATAGATAGATAAAAACATAAAGTGGTGCTCAACAAATAATTGATGATTTAATAGATAGATTTTAGCATTGATTTGCAAAAATGAAAAAAAACTTTTAATAAAAAATTGAAATAAAGGCAAAATAAATAACATTTAATTAAAAAAAACATTTTAACATTCCTTTAATCACAATATTATTGTACTGTATATACAGTACTATTCAATGTAATAGAAAATATACATTATTCATATATTTATGTGTATATACTGTAATATCGATATCAAGCATTAGCTGGTATTTAAAACTTTAAAAAAATATTTAAAATCATAATAAATAAAATTTAAAAAAGTCAATCGTAAACAAACAAAACACTATATGAAACCCATTACATATTTATATAAAGTATTGTTATGTATTTTTATTTTATTTATATTATTTATATATGTTTTCATATAAATTTTGTATAATAGTATTTTTTGGGGGGAATTGTTTTTATGAAATTAAATGATTGTTAGATATGAAACACGAGTGTTTGAGTGTCGCTGAACTTTGCCTGAAAGTGCCTCAAACTTTATATATCATATTATAAACACATTTTTTAAATATATGTATAAGTTATTCAGATATATAACTTTGTATTTAATATAAATAATATAATTTTTTCCCGTTTTATCAAATAACATAAAAAACAACAAATCATACCTTTTTTTTATTTAACTTGAGATGAAATTTTGTTTTAAAAATTTCTGTCACAAAACTTAATGCAAATTATGTCTCTCCTGTTGACAACCAAACACACTATTGAATGATTAACAACAATAATAACAGTATGTATAGAGTTGAAGGCAAACAACAAATAAATAAATAAATATTAAGTTTTTTTTCGTCAGTCATAAAAAAGTAATATAATGTATGCAAAACAACTAATTCAGTATTGTATGTAAATTATGTAATACTTATAATACGTTCAGTCAATTCACAGCACGTCCTGCATATGTATCCACACACACAACAAAATCCACTCTTGGTTTTGATTTTGTTTTTATAATTAAAATATTATTGCAAAACCATTATTATTATAAATATTAACTGTTTATTCAATACATCTAATCAACAGTTATGTTGTTCACTACAGTATATTATTTTTAAATGTTTAATTGAAATATTAAATGCCAATAGTTTTGGACAGGTTTTACAACAAGTGATATATGTATGCAAAAAATGTAAAGTATGTACAGTAGTATTATGTGATATATGTAATTTCAATTTGAGTGAAGTATATATAAAATGTTTGATGAGATATCGGTCTCCTCATAAAACAGGTCCTTAATATTTTAATACAAAACTTTTTTATATTGTGTTCAAGATTTGCAAAAAATATATTTATAAATGTCTCACAATTTTTTTTAATTACATATAACTTGAATATATGGGGATTTGCACTTTAAATACAGTTTGTATTGTTGTTGTCGTTGTTTGTAATGTTTTAATCAATAGATTTCTTGTTTAGTAGACATTGATTCACAACAAGTATCCAAATAATAAGTTTTAAAAAAAAAATTTATCAAAAACCAAATCTGATGTAAAAAACTTGTTGATAATCAGCCAAACAAATAGATATTCATTTTATTATTTCTATTTGAATGTTACTTCAAATGTATATATTTTTTAAAAAACAGTCAGAAATCTCATTTAACATAGAGTTTGTGACAATTATTTTAATTCACAAAAGTTAGAGTAAAAAACAAAAACAAAAATAAGTAATAATAATAAAAATAAATATATTTTTTATGAATAGTTTTGTCAATCAGCAAATCTTTTATTTTTTTCTGTTATAATAACATACAAATCAGTAAAAACATCAAAACTTTTTTATTATTATTATTTGGATAAAACACGCTTAAGTTGTTTTATCAATCGTAGGCCAACAAAGTTTTATTTTTAAAACTCTTTTATAAACTAAATAATAAAAGTTGATTAAACTGAGTGTCCCGTGTCTGAGCACATGTATGTATAAGTTGGAACTGATAGTCAAATTACTGATGTTTTGTTTGTTTTGATATTTGACGGCTTTTTAAAGTTTTTTTTGCAGAATTTTTAATATTTGAATTTAAGTTTTATGTTTTTTTTGACAATACCATCAAATAAAAAAAAAGTTTAGACACAAACTTAGTTTTTATTTCATATAATAATAATTCAAAAACTTTTTTACAGAAAGTCTAATCAAAAAATGTTTACAAAAATTTTATAAAACTTTACTATTTATCGAAATTTCGGTTTTCAAATAACTTTTTTTTGAAACTTATTATTATTATTATTGCTTAGTAATCGTTTAAACTTTTATTATTATTATTATAACAATTCACATTAGATTACAAAACAACAATATATAAATGTATAGCAAAAATATATATATATATATATTATAAATTTGTGAGTTTAGGTTGCGGTTCAAACTTTTTTTTCAATAAAAAAAGTTTAGTCTTAAAGTTCATTCACAAAATATTATTTAATAGTTTCACACAAAACTTTTATGAAAAAACAAAATAACAGAGTCATCGACAATCAATAAGTTGTAAAAATTGCAAAAATAGATTTATAATATTAATAAATAAATATTAATAAAACTAAAGTTTTTCGCTTAATTTTTAAACTTTTTTGATGTGATTTTTATTTTTGCCAATTTTACTATTAATATAATAATAAATAGTAATAGTATTAATATTATAAGTTTTATTATTATTATTATTATTCATATTGATATATTGTATATCAAAGTTATATATCATTTGTTAATATTTATTTATTTATTTTTTTGCTGTTTTCTTCAATAAGCCACACAAACAAATACAACGGTGTGTGAATGTAATGCAATGCCAAATGCTATGCCCAGTGCTATGGTATGGTATTACCAGCTTTTGCACCGTCAGAGTAACACACTGTTGAGCTCCACCTTTAAACTCCACAATAACACCAATCATTTATAACATACCAGAGCTCTCAATATACATACATCACATATTCACACACACACTATGTTTTTACAATAGATTTTATGTTAACTTAATTATAATTATATCAAAATAAATACATATAAATTTTTTTGCTTACACGTTAAACATATATTTAAACTAAAAATAATATAAATAATATATAGAGTTTATTTTAATGGTTTATTATTTTATTATTTTTATTTTTATTATAACAGTATTTTATGTTTTGTGTCAATTTATCAGCAATTTTTATATTTAATTTTTGCTTCGTCTTATAGTAGATGTTAAAATTATTATTTATTGATAATAATTTATGTCTTTTATTAATATTAAAATTTTTGGTCTATTCATATATTTTAATGATTGATATGATTATATGTCATGCAAATTAGGTAACGATATATTAATTGCATAGTAAACACTAAAAAAATGCTAAAAATTTATTATTAAAGACAATTTTTAAACATTGATAATTTTAATTAAATTATTTTAATTATAGTAGTTTTCTGTAATTTAACAATTCTACTAAATAAGCAAATTTAATAAATTAATTTTTATAATAAAATTTTTAATGTTTTATTCTTAATGTAATTTGCGTAAAACTAGAAATACAAAAAAAAAATGTAATTTATAACTCTAATTAATTAACTTATTAATTAAATATTAACAATAATTTTAATAACATAATAATTATTTAACTAAAGTTTAAATATACAAATTTAACTAAATTGTAGTGATTTGTATTATACATTATTTGGTTAAAAATAATTTTTAAAATATCACATTTTGTTCACAAATAATTTATAAAACTTTTTACTAATTTAATTGATTAATATCTATTTATATATCTAATAAATAAATCTATATTTTAATTAATATTAAAATACAAACTAAAAGCAATGTATGAAATGTATTATAATATACTGTAATAGGTAAGACTGTCCTTATTAACTCATAATATAATATAAAGTTAAATATTGTATAACTTTTACTTTTATGTTAAATATTTTTAACAAAATCTTATTAAACATTAATATAACTGTTGATATTTATTATGTCGTGCCCTTCAAGTGATTAACTGTTTATTTAAAAAAGGAAATTAAAGAAAATAAAAATGAGACCAAAAACCACAAGAATTTTGTTAATTTTGTAAATTTTTATTTTGTTTTATATATTTATATTTACAAATATCTAATCAAAAAGTTCTATTTGTATAAACATTTTTATTTATTATATGTATTAATAAAATATTTAAAGAATATTAATAATATTATTAGTACACATTAAACAGTAATGATTTGATTAAATTATAAAAATAAAATATTTTTTAGTAAATAATAAAATAATTTTTTTTTCAGATTTTTTCATTTATTATTATAATATGACACATTTTTTAAGTAAAAAATACAGTATCTTTATTATAGTATAAGTACTTTATATTATAAATTATATTTGGCCTCTTATAATATATATTATAAGATGATAAATATGTATAACTTTTAATAAAAGATTATTTTATTCATTTGTATAGTAATTGAGTTATTGGCTTATCTCTAGAAAAATAAGAATACTTTAATATTATATATAAAAATATATATTTATATTTGTTATGTTATCTTAAAATACAAATAAAGTAATAAATATATTAAATACAATGTTACAAATTAGATGATTTTTTTGCTATATTAAATAACAAAAATATGCTTATTATTAAACAAACTAATGATAACAACAATAAATTAGTTTTATTCCTGTTTATTAAATAAATAATAATTTTATCACTTAATATATTATTATAATTTTTATTCATTTAGTAGAAAATTTGTTTATAATAATAATTTTTATCAGTAACATTTTTTTTACTAATATAATTTATATTAAATAATCACATAAATTGATACAATTTAACATTTTATATATTTTATTAACATTTATTGAACTTTGTTTTTATCAAAATAAAGATTAAATTTAAATAATCTATAAAATTATATACAATTATTATATAAAATACTATTTTTACGACATTATGTATGAATTTTCTGATAATTATATTAATATATGAATAGTAAGATAGTATTGTCTCTGTTTATGTTATAACTAGTGTCTTGATTTTCAACTAAAAAAATTATTTTGTCGGTTTAACGCTTATAACTGGGACTTAGTATGTCCACCGAAGTTGACCAGTGGACGCTATTTCCGATATTTTATTATAACTATAAATAACTATTTGTTGGGTTAGCAACTATAAAAACTTATAAATAACTATTTCAGTTATTTTGAAAAATATAAGCATTAGATTGTAAAATATTGCTCAAATATAGGTAAAAACAAAAAGTAATAGTTATATAAATTATATAACATGTGTAAACTGTTATCAACTCATATTACTTTTTTAACAATAGAAATATTTAGTTTATTTATATAAATCATTTTTGTAAATATGCTGAAAACAAGTGAATTATATATCAGTTGAAATATTTATAAGAAAATAAATAACTATTTCAATAACTATTTGGCTTTTTTGGCAATTATATACAACTATTTAATACATTTTAAATAACTATTTTAACAACTATTTGACGTTTTTTGGCAACTATTATAACAACTATTTAATAGAGTATAAAAAATTATTAATCAATACACTAGTTATAACTTATGTATAAATATCGTATATACACTGTATATATATTTATATATAAAAATATATTAAATTGTCATATCATAAGACTAATTAAATTTATATTTTTATTTTAAATGATAAACAATTTTTTTTAATAATTACAGTACTTCACTATAAATCTGTTTCGCCTTTTATTGTAATACTATTATTAAATAAATTTTTATTTAAATTATTTATACGACTAGTTATTATATTACTGATAATAAATGAATCATAATTTTTCTATTAATATACATTTTAATTTTAATGTATCATTCATTTATGGGTTTATATTTTGGGCCAAAACCTAATTACAAATCTATTAAAAATATTTTTTTATCGAATATTTAAAAAAGTTATTATTAAATACATAGAAAAACTATATATCTCTTAATTAGATCACTAATTAAAGTGTAATATATTCACTAAAGCGTAGGATTAGATGCAATTAATATACAAAATGTAAACCTAAAGTTTAATAATGATCAACAAGTTTTTATTTTTTCAATTATTTTTATTAAAATACAGATCAAAAATAATACATTATATGATAGTTATGTATACATGACGTTACATGTAAATAGGTAGTACCCACCTGTTTATTAAACTTATAAATACAATTAAAACTTAATAAATGAAGGTAAAAGTTT